GAACCCCGTATCAAATTCTTGCTGGCTTTTGGCTTGATTTTTGTCTGCCTGTTTTTAAGTTGGACATTTATAAATTTTTGATCCTTTTAAAGGCTAGCTAATAGCATAAAGAATGTTTCTACTCCTAACTGCCCAGAGTTTCTTGGGAACTTGCAGAGCTTAGCCTATCATCATTTTTACAGCTTTAGGTCATATAAATTTTTTTCTTCATTTCAACCCAGTGACATGCTTCTATGGAAGGTCAGGGGCGTTGTGTTGGTTGGTTGTAGTCGATATAACAGTAGCCTTACCGCACTCATAACCAATCCTTCTAAATTTGTCAAAATTACTGATCCAATTTCTAAAACTATTTTGTAAATTGAGAACAAAATTGAAAGCTTTCTGCAAAAACTCTATGATTTGTCTGCCTTCTCATCTGTAACTTTCTCTAAACTGTATGCCTCCGGTTCATGCCCTGGGATTTTATATGGCTTACCTAAAATTCATTAGTCTGATTTTGCCTCAAAGTTTAAATTTAAACAAATTTTTGCTGCATATAATACTCCTAGTTTTAAACTGGCTAAGTTTTAAGTTCTAGTCTTTAACTAACAACTAACCAGTATACAGCAGAAAATTCCTATAAGTTTGTTGACCACTTGAAGAATTTTACCAACATTCAGGACTTAACTATTGTTTTTTTGACGTGGAAAATTTGTTTACAAATATACCTCTTTATGAAAGTATAGAGATCTATTTTAATTTTCTGTTTGAAGATATTCATGATACTGTTTTTGGTTAGAACTGAAGTTCTTTAAAATCCCTCCTAGAATTATCAGTTCTAAATTCAATTTTAATATTTGCTGATAAGTTTTACAGCCAGAGTGATGGTTTGGGCATGAGTCTTCCCATCGGCCAAACCCTTGCAAATTTTAAATTCAAGTTAAACTCAAATACTATTAACCGCAGCTTCCATATTTACTGAACTTTCCATGCCATGCATTATGAATTTGAATTTATGCACAATATCTTCTTGCTTAATGGATTTCCTTCTGGCTTGGTGTTTAACCAAATGAGAAAATTCATGCCTATGTGATAGTGAGTTGTTCCAAAGCCTGATAATAGAAATGTTATTTACTGTTCTCTTCCATACTATGGCCATGCATAATTATTCTGCCCTTTGCCTGTAAATTTAGGTTTTAACTTTTTTTTTTCTTTTGATTCCAAACTGATTAATTTTCTGACTGTATTTGTGTTCTATATTTATCGAACTGACGATGGAGCTGGTCTCCGAAACATTATCAATAGAGAAATGCTGAATTTTTGTGGAGTTTTCTTCACTGTTACATTTCTAGTGAATCTGCGATTCAAGCAATCTAGTGACATTATAACTTTAAGGTTTTAGCTTCTTGTTCTGTTGCATCTGATATGTGTAATTTGGTATCCTTGAATATTTTTAAAGATAATTCTAGTTTAAATGCAGCCTTTTCTTCTTATCCACTAGAAATTGTGAATTGTTGGATATTTACTTTATTACTCGGCCTTTGCCTGTAAATTTAGGTTTTTGTCTTCTTTTTTATTTTGAATCCAAACTTTATTAATTTCTGATTAAATATGTGTTCTAGATTTATTGAACTGACAATGGAGCTGGACTTTTAAAACATTTTCAACAGGGATATGCTAAATTTTTGTGGAGTTTTCTTTGCTTTTAAATTTCTAGTGAATCTGCGACTCAAGCAATCTAGTGACAACCAATTACAAAAATTAGACCAAAAAATCATTATCTAAAATTTTAAAGGAGATGTAAAACATTTATAAACCATATAAGGGTATTTTGAACCAAAAAAATATTATTTTTTCAGTTTTTAAAGAGATACAAAAGAAACATAGAACTGATTCATGATGAAATTTATTCATACCCTGAATCAATAGCAAATAGCATGGCCTTTACTTTTGATAACTTGTTGTAAACGCTTACAGTAATGGTCAACAAGGTTCCTGCATGTATCAATGCTAAGTTTTGTCCATTCTTCCTTGGCATAATGTTCCACTTCTTTCAAATTTCTAGGTTGTCTCTTTTTCACCTCTATTTTCAGTATGCATCACAAATTCTCAGTTGGATTGAGATTGCAACTTTGACTAGGGTATTAGGACCATGACATTGATGTAATAATCATCAAACCACTTCTTGACTATTTTTGATGTGTTCTTTGGATCATTATCCTGCTAAAGAGTCCAATCAGGACCACGAAAAAGTTTTTCTACATCCTGCATATAATTTTTGATAATATCAAGATATTGTTCTTTTTTCACAATCCCATTCACTTTAATCAGACTTCTTGGTCCCCTAGCAGAAAGAAACCCAAAATATAAGATTCCTACCTCCATGTTTAACTGTGGGGATTGTGTTCTTTGAATTATGCACCTCACTTTTTTTCTCCAAACTTAAGCAACATCCATATGTCTGAATAATTCTATTTTGTCTCATCTGTCCACAAAATCTTTGAGAAAAATGAGGTTGGGGAATTGACATGAGTTTTAGCAAACTTCATATCTGCTTTTACATGCTTTTATGTTAGCAAAGGGTTTTCCCGGGTCGACAACCCTTCAGTCCGTTATGATGCATTGTTCTTTGCAATGTTTGTCTTGATACTTCATACCAGAAACATCAAAATTTCTCAAAATTTCCTTGCTGGTGATCCTAGGATTGTTGCAAACATTGCAATTAATAAATTATCAAGAATTTAAAAGCAAAGAATACAGAAAAAATATTCACCATTTCTTAAGAATTAAAACGGTTCAGAGTCCAGCTCCATCATCAGTTCCAAAGTTCAAAACCTATAAGAAAAGCAGAATCAATTAGAAAACTAAATTCACATTGAAGATAAAAACATAAATTGAAAATTTTTTTCTTTTGTCAGTTTACATTTTTATCTTTGAGGCGAATTTAGTTTTCTAATTGATTCTGCTTTTCTTATAGGTTATGAACTTTTGAACTGACGATGGAGCTGGACTATGTAAAGTATTTATTCTTAAGAAATGGTGAATATTTTGGCATTATTCTTTGCTTTTAAATTCTGGATAACCTTGCAATTTAGGAAATATAGTGATTTTAATATTAATAAATTATTTTGTTTCTGGCACATCTGGGGAAAATGTTTTCCCTCCCTTCCTCAACCAACCAGGTTATCCACCGTGGTCTGTGTTAAAAGATTTTCATTTTTTTTCATAATGCGCTACTACTTAGATATTAATTTATATCCAAGCCCTTCTTTGTGGGAATTTGCAAATTTTGTTTCTGAGATCATTACTAAGCTCTTTTTTCTTCACCATCTTCAAAATTTTAGCAAAATTTTAACTTTTCCTTTGATTATGGAAAAAAATTTAATTTCAGACTTTGCGGAAAAAATATTGCAATGCTTAACAACACTGAATTTTGAAACACAATTATAAGAGTATCTACTATTATTTTCATTAACAGTTCTTCTTAAATACCATTATAAATGATCTGGAATGAGAGGTCTACGAATAATTATGTACTGTAAGTTACGCACAAAATGCGAAATAATTACTGTTGAAAATAATTGTTTTCTAAATATTTTATTGTACATTATAATTGCAATCTTTCCTAAAAAAATGTTATAAATGATCTTTATTGTTTTTTGAAATTTGAATGTATTATATATCTGAAGAGGTATGAATAATTTTGGGCGCAAGTGTATAAATTGTATAATTAAATCTTATTTTATGTGTATTTATTTAAACCTATTTGTTTAATTAAAAAAATAGTTATAATTGTAGAATGAACATAGAATTGCTAAATTTATATCTTTTCTCATATTTATTATTTAAACTTGATATTTTAAAGAGCTAAAGCTCCCTACAAGGGCAGTATTACTATCACTTACTCAAAAGTGTATTTTATTGTAGTTTAGTGAATGTTTTTTTAGTGTATTTTAGCAAATGTTTTTTTAAATATCATTTATTATAAAGAGATTTTATTTCTGTCAATGTTTTCAACATGTCTTCTAGAAATTCTTTTTTTTTCATGACTGACTGAGACTGAAAAAAAGATTTGAATTTAAATGAAGGATTAAAGTTTTCCTTAATGATTAAAAATTGACCTTAAATTTAAAATTGTCCTTAATGATTAAAAATTGTCCTCAAATTTAAAAATATAAGAACAATTTGAAAGAACAATTTAAATTGTCCCAATATTGACACATCCTGACTCACAGCACGTACATTTTTTACTTTTGACTCACATTTTCAACGCACATTTTCTACTCACATTTTTTACTCAAAATTTTCTATACATATTTTTGACTTATTACCCACATTTTCCCTGCATTATAACAAAATTATCCAACAGCCCCGCGAGCTCCAGCAGATGATCGAGGCCGAGGACTACGAAGAGGCCATCACACACGTCACGACCAAATGTCGGAGCATCAGCCTCCCTCGTCTGCTGGAGGAGGGGGATTTGGTTTTCATTTCCTTCGTTGAGGTTCGGTGGCAGCTTAGGGTTAATTCTTCGGACCCAATTGGAGTCGGTCCTGCATTCAATTCCTTTACAAAGACTCTTCCTCAAGTTAATTTTTGAGTGCAACAAGTACGTAGACTAGTAAATAATCATGCATACCAGCATCATCATACTTAAGATATTGTTTATTTAGAACTGAAGTTAGTTTACCCTGGCATATATAAATGCTGGGACTGATTTATTATTTAATGTGGTATTTAAAGTGTACTATATTGTTTTACTGGATCTTTTAATGTAGTGGGTTAAAGCCCTCTTTTGGTGTGCTATTTCTCATGATATTTATCCTTGATATGTTATTGAATGATGAGTCACATTTGTTATTTGAAAGAATAAATTGAAGCATACAAGTAACATTCAATAAAATGAAAGTACACTCCCAAGCAATATTCTATTGTTTACTATTTATTTCTTTGCTTTGAAGCTCTTGTGTGAAATGCAATTCATTTCCATAGCAATAATCAAACAATTTTGTTCTCTTCAGTTGGCGCCCCACCAGCGGACGACCAAATTCCTCTCAAAAAAATCAAACTTGAACCCAACTTAGAGGAAGTTTATATTAAAGTGGAGGCTGTCATGCATGATGAGCTCGGAGATGACATGATTTTAGTCAAATGTGATAATGATAGTGACATGATGATGCTGGTCAAACATGAAGGTGATCAGGACAACATGATTATGGCGGTCAAACACGAGGGCAAGCAAGACAACATCATGACAGTTAAACATGATGGCGAGCATGACAAGATTATTATGGCGGTCAAACATGATGGCGACCAAGATAACATGATTATGGTGGACAACATCAAGCTGGAGGTGGAGGCTGATGATGTATTAGCCAAAGATGAACCAATGTCCCAGGATGAGGTAAGTGACATCTACTGGTAGGTAACATATGCTGGTAGGTAACATGTGCTGGTAGGTAACATGTGCTGGTAGGTAACATGTGCTGGTAGGTAACATGTGCTGGTAGGTAACATGTACTGGTAGGTAACATGTGCTGGTAGGTAACATGTGCTGGTAGGTAACATGTGCTGGTAGGTAACATATGCTGGTAACAAGTGCTGGTAGGTAATTTTAGGCCTTGTAACTTCTGGTCCTTGTAACAAATTTGAATCCATAACTTTACTTCTATCATATGAATTAATTTGGTACTTAGCTTTCATTTTCACTGTAGAACAAGTTTGAAATGGAATGTTGATGGCAACCAAGTTCCTGCTGCACATAAACCTTATGTCATGGCAGGCATGCAAGCCTCCCAACCCTGGTGGTGGTAGCTGGCCACCTCCTCCTCCTCCTCTGTGTGTGCCGTGCAAGAGAGAAGCGTCGAGTGAGGGGCCTGATGTCCATAGTACCTATGATACCAATGGTGTCCTTGATGCCCACAGTGCCTCTGAACAACCCTTGCTCATGAAGAGCTTGAGGATAGCACAAAGTTCCTCCCCACACTCCCCCATCACCTCCAAACACTCCCCCAACACCTCCAAACACTCCTGCACCTCCTCCCGACATTCTCCCATCACCTCCTCCAATTATTTCTCTATCACCTCCACCCAACATTCCCCCATCACCTCCTTCAAACACTCCCACATCACTTCCTCCCAACGTTACTGCATCACCACCTCCCGACATTCTCCCATCACCTCCAAACATTCCTCTATCACCTCCGCCCAAAATTCCTCCATCACCTCCGCCCAACACTCTGCGGTCACCTCCTCCCAACATTCCCCCATCACCTCCGCCCAACTCTCCCCCATCACCCTAACCCTAAGAAAAGTCCAGGTATTTCACCGCCATCATCAGTCAACATCCCAGCGCATGAGGAAGGTATGGCAATCTTAATGAAAAACTATTAACAAATTTAAATACCAAATGCACATTGTAGTTTATACACTTATGTCCAAAATTATTCATGCCTTAATGTCATTTCAACAAATTACAAAATATTTAAAAGTAAAGAGAACTCCACAAAAATAAAACATATCTCTATTTAAAACATTTTGGAGTCCAGCTCCATTGTCAGTTTGATAAATTTAGGACAAAAATACAATCCGAAGTGAATAATGTTTGGGTTCAAGAGAAAAAATACAGAAGTTAAAAACCTAAATTTACAGGCAAAGGGCAGAGTAATAAAGTAAATACCTATCTATTCATAATTTCAAGTGGATAAGAACTGAAGGCTGCATTTAAACTAGTCCAATTTTCAAAAATGTACAAGGATTCCAAAATATGCAGACGGGATGCAACAGAAAAAGAAGCTAAAACCTTAAAAGTCAGTGTCAGACACTGGAATGTTGCACCGTTTGGCGTGAGTGCACGCAGCTGAATGAGGAGGGTGTGATAGTAACTGCCCAGTCCTATAACTCCTCCCTCTATGCTCAGCGACCCTAGAGTAAAGATTGTATGACGGCATTCTAACATACACAGGTGCACATCCTGCAAAACTAAATTTATAAACTAGGGACAATCACGTGTGAGAAGGGAGGATATCTTTGTACCTAAAAATGAACCTATTTCGAAATTATTCTCCAGTAAGATATGAAGGTTGATGTCTGAAAAGTATTTCATAAACAAATCTTTCAAGTCTCTTGACTTAACTTTGTATGCATGGCCAAAGTATGGAAAAGAACAGTAAACAACATTCCTATTATCAGGCTGTGGAACAACTTCACTGTATTGCTTAGACATGAATTTCTTAATTTGGTTAAACACCATGCTAGAAGGAAATGCATGCCAGAAGATATTGCGCATAAATTCAAATTCAGAATGCATGGCACGGAAAGTCAAGCAAACACAAAAGCCATGGTGTTTAAAGCCCATTCAACTTGAATCTAAAAGAACAAAAGCTAGAAAAGCTGGTGCTTAAGCTGGTGAAAGTAGATTTTGGAAAACAGATGTTTTAAAGTGGTCATTAGATTTAGTAATTTTGCACTTGAGGAAGAACAAACTATTGTTTGATTCAAGTTCCTTTGTAAATTTAATAGAATAATATTGCAAGTTTAGGTGACCTAAGAAAAGTTAAACATAAGAGGGATGCTTGAAAATAAGAAAGATTTCATTGACGTATCTGTTATAAAATATTGGTTTGAAGTCAGGAGGACAATTGGCCAGCCATGAAACCTCATGAAAACAAATGAAAATATTTGCAAAGGTTGCACCAAGAGGAAGGCCCATGCCCAAACCATCAATCTGTCTGTAAAACTTACCAGCAAATATGAAAATTGAATTTAAAACTAAAAATTCCAGGAAGTATTTAAAAAATATTGGTTCAAACCAATAACAGTATCATGAATATCTTTAAACAGAAAATTGAGACAGATCTCTATAGTTTCATAGAGTGGTACCTATATTTATAAACAAACTTTCCAATGTCAATAGAGGCCAAAGTAAAGTCATGAACGTCATTAATATCCTGCTAGTGGTCAACAAACGTATAAGAATTGTCTACTGTGTACTGGTTAGTTGTATGACAGTCTATGACTGAAACTAAAAACTTAGCAATTCAAAACTAGGAGTACTATATGTGGCAAAAATTGGTCAATATTGAAACTTTGAGGCAAAATCAGACTTGTAAATTTTGTGTATGTAAGCCATATAAAATCCCAGGGCATTAACCAGAAGAGTAAAGTTTGAAGTTTCAGATGAGAAGGCAGACAAATCCTTGAGTTTTCACAGAAAACTATTGATTTTGTCCTAAATTTTGAAAATGGGTTTAGAGATTGGATCAGTAATTTTGACAAATTTAGAAGGTTCGGTGATGAGTGCAGTAAGGCTACTGTTAAATTGAGTACAACCAACAACACAATCAAAGCATTTCACTGGGTTGAAATACAGAAGAAAAAATTTTATATGACTTGAAGTCATAAAAATGACAATAGGCTGTCTTGCAAGTTGCAAGTTCCCAAGAAACTTAGGGTGGTTATTAGTAGAAACATTCTTTATGCTGAGAGCTAGTCTTGTAAAGGCTAAAAAAATTTATAAAAGTCTAACTTGAAAACAGGCAGACAAAAATCAAAGAATAAAACAAAAGCCTTTATTTTTGCATTCAGGCATCTTCTTAACTTCAGGAAAGTTTCCAGTCAAATGCATCAAAGGAAACTCAGTAACTTCGGCATCCACAACGAAATTCGTTGTATTGACCCAGATGAGGTGGTTTTCAACTATAGTTCTTTAAACTTGGAACCCCGTATCAAATTCTTGCTGGCTTTTGGAATTAATTTTTGTCTGATTGTTTTCAAGTTGGATTTTTATAAATTTTTCAGCCTTTGAAAGGCTAGCTCTCAGCATAAAGAATGTTTCCACTCCTAACCGCCCTGAGTTTCTTGGGAGCTTGCAGAGCTTAGCCTATCATCATTTTTATGGCTTTGAGTCATATAAAAGTTTTTATTCTGTATTTCATCCCAGTGACACGCTTTTATTGAAGGGCATGGGCGTTGTGTTGGTTGAATGTAGTCAATATAACAGAGTCTTAGTGCACTCATCACCGATCCTTCTAAATTTGCTGAAATTACTGATCTAATCTCTGAAATTATTTTAGAAATGGAGGACTAAATCAATCGCTTTCTGCAAAAACTCAAGGATTTGTCTGCCTTCTTATCTGAAACTTACTGCAAACTTTACACCTCTGGTTCATGCCCTGTGATTTTATAGACTTACCTAAAATTCATTAGTCTGATTTTGCCTCAAAGTTTAAATTTAAACAAATTTTTGCTGCATATAATACTCCTAGTTTTAAACTGGCTAAGTTTAAAGTTCTAGTCTTTAACTAACAACTAACCAGTATACAGCAGAAAATTCTTATAAGTTTGTTGACCACTTGAAGAATTTTACCGACATTCAGGACTTAACTATTGTTTTTTTGACATGGAAAATTTGTTTACAAATATACCTCTTTATGAAACTATAGAGATCTATTCTAATTTTCTGTTTGCAGATATTCATGATACTGTTTTTGGTTAGAAATGAAATTCTTTTAAATACCTCCTAGAATTATCAGTTCTAAATTCAATTTTAATATTTGCTGATAAGTTTTACAGCCAGAGTGATGGTTTGGGCATGAGTCTTCCCATCGGCTAAACCTTTGCAAATTTTAAATTCAAGTTAAACAGGCTTCAAATACTATTACACCGCAGCTTCCATATTTACTCAACTTTCCATGCCATGCATTCTGAATTTGAATTTATGCACAATATCTTCTTGCCTAATGGATTTCATTCTGGCTTGGTGTTTAACCAAATTAGGAAATTCATGCCTAAGTGATAGTGAGTTGTTCCAAAGCCTGATAATAGAAATGCTCTTTACTGTTCTCTTCCATACTTTGGCCATGCATCTGATATTGTGGCAAGAGAATTGAAAGATTTGCTTATGAAACATTTTCCGGACAATAATCTTCATATCTTTCTTGTGAATAATTTTAAAATAGGTTCACTTTTTAGGTTCAAAGATATCCTCCCTTCTCTCATGCGATCATCCCTAGTTTTAATTATTTAGTTGTGCACAATGTGCATCTGCGTATGCTGGAATGACGACACGCAACCTTTACACTAGGGTTGCTGAGCATAGAGGTAGGAGTTATAGGACTGGGCAGTTACTATCGTGCCCTCCTCATTCGGCTCTGCGCGCACACGCCGAGCAGTGCAATGTTCCGGTGTCCGACACTGACTTTAAGGTTTTAGCTTATAGTTCTGGTGCTTCCGATCTGCACATTTTGGAATCTTTGTGTATTTTTATAGAGAAGCCTAGTTTAAATGCTTTCTACAGTTCTTATCCATTAGAAATTGTGAATAGATAGTTATTTCTATATTATTCTGCCCTCTGCATGTAAATTTAGGTTTTAACTTTTTTTTCTTTTGACTCCAAACTTGATTAATTTTCTGTCTGTATTTGTATTCTATATTTATCAAACTGACAATGGAGCTGGTCTACGAAACATTTTCAATAGAGAAATGCTGAATTTAAGTGGAGTCTTCTTCACTGTTACATTTCTAGTGAATCTGCAATTCAAGCAATCTAGTGACATTATGACTTTAAGGTTTTAGCTTCTTGTTCTGTTGCATCCTATCTGCGTATTTTGGAATCCTTGTATATTTTTGAAGAGAGGCCTAGTTTAAATGCAGCCATCAGTTCTTATCCACTAGAAATCGTGAATTGATAGGTATTTACTTTATTACTCTGCCTTTGCCTGTAAATTTAGGCTCTTAACTTCTGTATTTTTTCTTGTGAATCCGAACTTTATTAACTTCTGATTGTATTTGTATTCTAGATTCATCAAACTGAGAATGGAACTAGACTTTTAAAACATTTTAAAAAGAAATATGCTAAATTTTTGTGAAGTTTTCTTTGCTTTTGAATTTCTATTGAATCTGCGATTCAAGCAATCTAGTGACATTACCTATAACAAATTACGAGGATTAGACCAAAAAATAATTATCTAAAGCTTTAAAGTAGATGTAAAGCATTAATGAGCCATATAACATGGTATTTAGAAACTAAAAAACATTATTTTTTCAGTTACTATGTAAAGTGATGCAGAGGAAACATAAAACTGACTCATGATCAAATTTATTCTTACCCGGAATCAATAATTAATATCATGACCTTTTCTCTTGATAACTTGTTGTAAATGCTTACAGTAGTGGTCAATAAGGTTCCTGCATGTATTGATGCAAAGTTTTTTCTATTCTTACTTGTCATACAGTTCTAATTCTTTCCAAACTTTTAGATTGTCTCCTCTACACCTCTATTTTCAGTATGCATCACAAATTCTCAGTTGGATTGAGATTGCAACTTTGACTAGACCATTCCATGACAGAACAGACTCAAGTTCAAGAACAGACTAGATAATATAATGGAAAAATATATGATCAGATTTGAAATGCCTAGCTCCTTATCAAACCCGGTGGAAGTCTAGTAGCTACTTCAAACTATCGCCAGTCATGAAAAGATCCGGTCAAATGAAACGATTTTAGATCTTCTGTGAACAAGGCACGAAAAGGAAAAGAATCGGCGACAGGCCACATCAGGCCTACACTTCAGCGCCGACATCACTATGTTATGTTATGTTATGACATTGATGTGAGAATCCTCAAACCACTTCTTGACTATTTTTGATGTGTTCTTTGGACCATTATCCTGCTAAAGAATCCAATCAGGACCAAGAAAAAGTTTTTCTACATCTTGCAATTCATTTTTGATAATATCAAGATATTGTTCTTTTTTCATGATCCCATTCACTTTAATCAGACTTCTTGGTCCCCTAGCAGAAAAAGAACCCCCAAAACATAAGATTCCCATCCTCATGTTTAACTGTAAGGATTGCGTTCTTTGAATTATGCATCTCACTTTTTTTCTCCAAACTTAAGCAACATCCATATGTTCAAATAATTCTATTTTAGTCTCATCTGTCCACATTATCTTGGAAAAAATGGAGTTATGGATTCGACATGTGTTTTAGCAAACTTCAGACATGCTTTCATATGCTTTTATGTTAGCAAAAGGGTTTTTCGGGTCGACAACCCTTCAGTCCGTTTCAATGCATTGTTCTGTGCATAGTTTGTCTTGAAACCTTCTTATCAGAAGCATCCAAATTTGATGGAATTTCCTTGCTGGTGATCCTAGGATTGTTGCAAACATTGCAATTGATAAATTATCAAGAATTTGAAAGCAAAGAATACAGCCAAAACATTTCTTAAGGATAAAAACATTTTATAGTCCAGCTCCATTGTCAGTTCAAAAGTTCAAAACCTATAAGAAAAGCAGAATCAATTAGAAAACTAAATTCACATTGAAGATAAAAACATAAATTGACAATTTTTTTCTTTTGTCAGTTTACATTTTTATCTTTGAGGTGAATTTAGTTTTCTAATTGATTCTGCTTTTCTTAAAGGTTTTGAACTTTTGAACTGACGATGGAGCTGGACTCCGAAATGTTTTCACTCTTAAGAAATGGTGAATATTTTGGCTGTATTATTTTCTTTTAAATTCTGGACAAACTTGCAATATAGGCAATCTAGTGATTTTAATATTAATAAATTATTTTGTTTCTGGCACATCTGGGGAAAATTTTTTCTCTCCCTTCCTCAACCAACCATGTTATCCACCGTGTTAAAAGATACTATAGACCTAGACACATCAAATTTCTTAGATATTACTTTATATCCAAGCCCTTCTTTGTGGGAATTTGCAAATTTTGTTTCTGAGATCATTACTAAGCTCTTTTTTTCTTTACCATCCTCAAACTTTTAGCCAAGTTTTAACTTTTCCCTTAATTATGGAAAAAAATTTAATTTCAGACTTTGCAGAGAAAATATTGCAATGCTCAACAACACTGAATTTTGAAACACAATTATAAGAGTATCTACTATTATTTTCATTAATAGTTTTACTTAAATAGTACTATGATAAATGATCTGGAATAAGAGGGTATGAATAATTATGAACAGTTAGTTACTCGCAAAATTCAAAATGATTGCTGTTGAAAATAATTACTTTCTAAATATTTTGTTGTACATTATAATGGCAATCTTTCCTAGAAAAATGTTTTAAGTGATCTTTAATGTTTTTTAAAATTTGAATGTATTATATATCTGAAGAGGTATGAATAATTTTGGGCGCAAGTGTATAAATTGTATAGTGATGGCTGATTTTATGTTTATTTATTTTAAACTTATATTCAGACCACATATAGAATTTGTTTAATTAAAAAATAGTTATAATTGTAGAATGAACATAGAATTGCTAAATTTATATACTCTCTCATGTTTATTATTTAAACTTAATATTTTAAAGAGCTAAAGCTCCCTACAACGGCCTCTTGGCCCCTCTGCAATAGACCACGTCTGTACAGTAGACAATACAAGGGCAGTAATACAATAATTTAGTCAAAAGTTCTCATAAATGTATTTTTAAAATATCATTTATTATAAAAATATTTATTTTTGTAGATCTCCTGAAAACAAGTCTTCTGGAAATTCATTTTTCATGACTGACTGAAACTGACATGAATAATTAAACTTAAATGAATAATTAAAATTGTTCCTAATGATTAAAAATTGTCTTTAAATATAAAATTCTACTTAATCATTAAAAATTGTCCTTAAATTTAAAATTGTCCTTGAATTTAAAATTGTCCTTAAATTTAAAATTGTCATTAAATTGAAAATTGTCTTTAAATTTAAAATTATACTAAAATGACTAGAATTAAAAATTGTCCTTAAATTTAAAATTTTCCCTAAATTTAAAATTGTTCTTAATAATTAAAAATTATCCTTAAATTGAAAAATTTAAGGATAATTTAATGATTAATTTGAATTATCCCAATATTGACACATCCTGACTCAGCACATGCATAAGCGGACTTGACACTGATCTTTTTGCCTGGCCAATCTGGGTCAGGATGACGCACACAAGGGCTAAAAGTGCCTTGATATTTGGACAAACTATTAGTTACTTCCTTGAGTGCTCATGGGTATTCTTCTTTGGCAAATGTTACATTTTTTACTCACATTCTTGACTTATATTTTGAACTAACATTTTGGATTCAAATTTCTTTTACATATTTTTGACTTTTGACTCATATTTTTTACTTTTGACTCATATTTTTTACTTTTGACTTGCATTTTTGACATATTTTTGACTGCTGACTCACATTGTGGACATATTTTTGGCTTTTGATTCACATTTTTGACATATTTTTGACTTTTTGACTCACATTTTTGACATATTTTTTGACATATTTTTGACTTTTGACTCACATTTTGACATATTTTTGACTTTCAACTACATTTTTTTCTCACATTTTTTTCCTTTTGACCCACATTTCCTTGCATTATAACAAAATTATCCAGCAGCCCCGAGAGCTCCAGCAGATGATTGAGGCCGAGGACTATGAAGAGGCCATCACACACGTCACGACCAAATGTCGGAGCATCAGCCTCCCTCGTCTGCTGGAGGAGGGGGCCCGAGGGCACGGTGTGGAGGGACCTAAGGGACCAAAACGGCCAAGAGGGCGGCCAAAGGGACGGAAAGGGTCACAGAAGGGACCAAAACGGCCAAAAGGGCGGCCAAAGGGACGGAAAGGGTCACAGAAGGGGCTAAATGGACAGGAGGAGCGGGTGCTCTACGGACTCATCGTCTCTATTAAAAAGCCGAAGCAAGAAGCAGCAAAAGTTGAATACAAACTGCGAGGCAAGACATACAGCTCATACAGCAGGCTGCTGCTGCTCAGGTGTGTACTGTGTGGCCATACACTGTGTACTGTGTGGCCATACACTGTGTACTGTGAGGCCATACACTGTGTACTGTGTGGCCATACACTGTGTCCTGTGAGGCCATACACTGTGTACTGTGTGGCCATACACTGTGTACTGTGTGGCCATACACTGTGTACTGTGTGGCCATACACTGTGTACTGTGTGGCCACACACTAGCATTCAATGAGCATTATTCTTTTTAATCATAAACATAATTATAATAATTTATAAAAAAGTTATAATAAATGTGATTATAACTTTTTTACAAATGTTAGATGCCTCCTAAAACTTAACTCTACCTCCCTTCATCTCCTCTCCCTCTACCTCTACCTCCTCTACCTCTACCTCCTCTACCTCTACTTCTACCTCCTCTACTTCTACCTCAGGGAGAAGTTCTCGGGCCGGTCCTTCTACGTGGTCGCCGCCTCCCTGGACGAGGCCTTCCACCTGCTGCGGTGGCCCGGGACCGCGTACCTGGGCTCGTGGGTCGCGGTCTACGGGCCCCAGACCGCGGGCCTCCTGCAGGGCGTGCCCCTGGTGACGACGAACACGTCCCTGGTGCCCGTCACGGTCCCCAGCGACGCGTGTCTGACGACGGGGGAGCTCCAGGACGTCACCCAGCGGGACCCCGTCAGGACCTTCCTCTACGTCGTGCCTGCTGGGGACCTGCGGCTTAGAGACCTCAGCCTGCGGCCTGCGTGTACCTCCATCATGTGCGACTCCCTACATATGGCGGCACACGGCGGCCATGTGGAGGCCCACGGCGATCATATGGCGGACTCTAGCCTCCATATGGCGGCCCACGGCGGCCATGTGGAGGCCCACGGCGATCATATGGCGGACTCTAGCGGCCACATGGCGTCCCTCAGCGACCACATGGCGACCCCCAGCGTCCACATGGGGGCCTCTAGCGACCACATGGCGGACCCCAGCGACCACATGGCGGACACTAGCCTCCATATGACGACCCACAGCGACCACTTGACGGACACTAGCCTCCGCATGGCGGCCCCCAGCGACCACATGGCGTCCCCCAGCGACCACATGGCGTCCCCCAGCGACCACATGGCGTCCCCCGGTGCCACCAGATGTCCCGCCCTCTACGGGGCGCGTCTGGGACGCCGGACGTTGAGCTGCGACGTGAGCGTCCCAGGCCGCGGCATCAAGGACTGCCCTTACAGCAGCGAGACCTTGGCCGCCATCTTGGTCCCCGAGTCCGTCCTTGAGGTGAGCCCTTTGTCCATCATTGTTATTGTTTACGTGCCATTGTCCATCATTGTTATTGCCCCAAGTCTGTTCTAGAGGTGAACCAGTTATTGTTTATGAGTCATTGTCCATCATTGTTTTTGATTGTTTACGTGCCATTGTCCATTATTGATATTGTTTACATGTCAGTGTCCATCATTGTTATCGATTGTTTCTATAGCTTATATAACAGAATGTGATCACCAGAATATTGCAATTGCATGGATGAAGAATGTCTTGCAGACCATGGAAATTTCATGAAATTCTTCCTATTTATCAAAACGTGTTATTACTTCGCTTGTTTGGCAACTGAAAAGTCGTTAACAAAGATATATATATTTTATATATATTTCTAATTTCTGGTACGACCGCAAAAATTATTAGTCAACGCTTTTTAACGAGTTATGTGATTATGAAAAAACCTTTGCTGGCTGGACCTAACCGTAGTAAAATTACAAAAAGTTTATAGAACTAGTTTTTACAGCTAACTCTAATTCCAACCCTAACTAACGAGGTTTTTGTTTATTAACATGTCGCAGAATAACGTTCATCTTTTTTTGCGTCGCACTATCAGCAAATACTAATCATATGTAGATTGTGGGACATGGGTACATTCCGAGACGTACCCGTAATTGTGCAACTTTTTGTCGCACAATATGCTAAAAATGTTGCACTATTGTTGAAAGTTTGATTCAATATTTGATTGAAAAATTCCGTCCGCCACAGGCATGTCGCACTATTACTCAAAAAACGTCGCACAATACCCCTACTTATATATATAAATATACATACATCAATTGCACTTTACCGGACTATGATTATTTTTGACCCAATGATCTTAGTAAAATTGTGAAAAAAGTAAGCAGAACCTAACCTGGCTGGACCTAACCTTAGTAGAAATGTGTCAAGCTATGTAAAGAAGGGTTTTATACACACCAAGTTTTCGCAGCTCACCTCCGTGAATGCAGAACCAGCAAGTTCGGTGACGTAGCGTAGCCAGATGGTCCGCTGGTCCGTGGGCGCCGTGACAACAGTTCTTCACGCCGTGCTGACGGGAAGTCGCTCATGGTGCGGCCCAAGTCCCGGACGCGTCAAAGATACTACCAGTGTGGTCCGCCGTGACCTCATCACCGCCCGAAAGGTAGCCACCGCCGAACCCCGACCGCTCCACAAGTCTCTACTGCTTCATAGAGACGGGACTAAAACACAAGTTCGTATCCGACATCTTGACGTCGACGAAGGCTGAAGATGAAGAGATCATTAATCCTGTGTGCTGACTGAATGAACGTTAGAGTGGGACTCCCTGCTGGGTCGCGAAACAGGGGCAGGGAAGTTTTGTCTTTAGAGTCGGTATAATAGAAATAAGGATGGCTTAGCTGCTAGACTGCTACGTGTGCTCGAAATTATGCAGAAATTTAAAACTTAGTTAATAAAGACATTAAATCTGAATTATAAAATTGGAAGTCCGGTCAAATGGTTCGAAGCATTAATTTTATAAATCGCCGAGCTACCAAACTAAGTGAAGGTAGGAAGATACCTTCAGTTTTCTACAAATTCCAACCCTAACTAACGAGGTTTTCGTTTATTAACATGTCGCAGAATAACGTTCATCTTTTTTTGCGTCGCACTATCAGCAAATACTAATCATATGTAGATTGTGCAACATTGGTACATTCCGAGACGTACCCGTAATTGTGCAACATTTTGTCGCACAATATGCTAAAAATGTTGCACTATTGTTGAAAGTTTGATTCGAGATTTGATTGAAAAATTCTGTCCGCCACAGGCATGTTGCACTATTACTCAAAAAACGTCGCACAATACCCCTACTTATATATATATAAATATACATACATCAATTGCACTTTACCGGACTATGATTATTTTTGACCCAATGATCTTAGTAAAATTGTGAAAAAAGTAAGCAGAACCTAACCTGGCTGGACCTAACCTTAGTAGAAATGTGTCAAGCTATGTAAAGAAGGGTTTTATACACACCTAACCCTAACTCTAACCCTAACCTAGCGAGGTTGGCGTTTTTTAGAATGTCCGGTAGTGTAGTTCATTTATTTTCGTGTCCGGTTTTTAAGTACAAACTAATTGTAAGATGCATAACCGGACTCGACTTTATCCGGATTTCTAAATAATAATGACGATAATAATTACAATAATAATAACTAATAACAACAATAATGTCCCCTCCACCAGTCCCCTAGCCAGGACCAGGCGCGGCTGGGGGCGGCGGTGGCTGAGGTCCTCCAGCAGCTCGCGGCCGCGGGGGCAGAGGTCCTGATCGCTGGCTGGTACAAGCGCTGCATCCTGCAGGGGGCGGCCGGGGGGCGCTGCATCCTGCAGGGGGCGGCCGGGGGGCGCTCCATCCTGCAGGGGGCGGCCGGGGGGCGCCAGCTGCACCTCACGCTGGTCAGGCCTGTCACCCTGCCCCCCACCCTCATCCGGGTCACCCTACGGCCGCCAGGCGTCACCCCTGTCACCCTAGGGGCACCACGCGTCACCCCTGTCACCCTAGGGGCATCAGGCGTCACCCCTGTCACCCNCCTGATGCCCCTAGGGTGACAGAGGTGACGCCTGATGCCCCTAGGGTGACAGGAGTGACGCCTGATGCCTCTAGGGTGACAGGGGTGACGCCTGATGCCTCTAGGATGACAGGGGTGACCCCTGGTGGCCGTAGGGTGACCGGGGTGACACGTGGTGCCTCTAGGGTGACCGGGGTGACACGTGGTGCCTCTAGGGTGACAGGGGTGGCGCGTGGTGCCCCTAGGGTGACAGGGGTGACGCCTGATGCCCCTAGGGTGACCTGTCTCTTATACACATCTAGATGTGTATAAGAGACAGGCGTCACCCCTGTCACCCTAGAGGCACCAGGCGTCACCCCTGTCACCCTAGAGGCACCAGGCGTCACCCCTGTCACCCTAGGGGCTGTCTCTTATACACATCTAGATGTGTATAAGAGACAGCGCGTCACCCCTGTCACCCTAGGGGCACCAGGCGTCACCCCTGTCTCCCTAGGGGCATCAGGCGTCACCCCTGTCACCCTAGGGGCACCACGCGTCACCCCTGTCACCCTAGAGGCACCAGGCGTCACCCCTGTCACCCTAGGGGCTGTCTCTTATACACATCTAGATGTGTATAAGAGACAGGGGTGACAGGGGTGACGCCTGATGCCCCTAGGGTGACAGGGGTGATGCGTGGTGCCCCTAGGATGACGCGTTGTGGCCGTAGGGTGACAGGGGTGACGCCTGGTGCCTCTAGGGTGACAGGGGTGACGCCTGATGCTCCTAGGGTGACAGGGGTTACGCCTGGTGCCCCTAGGGTGACAGGGTTGACGCCTGGTGCCCCTAGGGTGACAGGGGTGACGCCTGNACGTCGGGGTTATTTATGATGATACGATGATTAGTAATGGTATCTTAAATATAGATAAAGATTTAATAATAATATATATATTATTATTGATAAGAGAAATCTTATAGATTTATCTTGTACCTCCACTCAAGAAACTTAGAGCCTCAAATGTCGTAAATTATATTTTCTGTATATTTTGGCTAGCTATAATATTATAACTACAACATTGTCGGGGATTTTAAAGTCCATTCCTGGCATTAAATGTGTACTCATGTATAATATAGTAAAATAAATACAATCGTATTCCGTATATGTATAGCATGGCTAACATTTTCTGTACACATAACATAATAAGATGATAAATACGAATAAAATGTCGATGAATTTTTTATGGATGGATGAATGGTGTCATCATTATAAGAGGAATGCATTATATTTTATGTATATATAATACATAATAAAATGATAAATACAATCGTCATCATCCATCCTGTTCTTCCATCATCCATCCTGTTCAATTGTTCAAGAATTCTTCATAAAAATTAAGTTACAAATATGGCCTCGCTAGAAAACATCACACGGTTAGACTCGGTGTCTACGAATACAATATATTAAATATATATTCAATATACAATTCATTGAATGTATGTACGGAAGAAATACATTTCACTTCATTGAATTTAATGCCTTGAAATACTAAGCATTGAAGTCACAATACAAAGCAGTGTACTTAGGACGCTACGTGTACTTAGGCCGCTACGTGTACTTAGGCCGCTACGTGAAATAGCTATAATGAAATAGTTATTCCTCTCAACCGCGTTTTCTAATCTCATTCTCACATGCCTCACAGAAAACTACTAATGCATAAACTAGTCAAGATCAGATGCGAAATTCAAATCAAGTTATCTATACTTCCTTGAAATTTGAATAGGGAACGTAAACTGTAAAATAGACATTTACTTGAAATTAAACATTAACATAAACTAATTACTGATATATAAAACAAAATATCGTAAGCTAAGCTATAAATGTTAATTGAACTGAATATTGCTTGCGAAAGAACTTATTCGTGCCCATTTTATAGGCTGTGATAGAAATTATACTGTTTTTTTTATAAGAGGGATATAGCACAGTATAGTATATAGGCTATTAGGTATTGTTATAGTATAAGTATTATCGTACGTATAGGTTGGTCGAGCTTGTAGCTCTCAGAAATGAACATTTTTCAAGTAATTCTGTACATTTTGTCTGATCACCAACAACTCGTCTTGCCAAATATCAATATCGAGTTCTATATAAATGGATTATTTTCTGATATACAGAAAGTTTCAGTCCATCCTATTTAATAGTTTTCTGCATATGATCCAGACAAAATAGAAAACGATACGAGCCTAAACTCAACAAGATTGGTCACACGAAATTATCAACGAAGCAATCCCTTCGTAATGAATTAAAATATAAATAATTCTTCGCCAAATTTTGGCTCGCTGGTAGTGACAGATACGACTTTGATATAGATATCAATTTTTATTATAAAATTATCATCTATATATAATTTATCTCTACTTAAATTCAATAAACAATTCATTGATTTGTTACGTTTAATACTAAGCATTGAAGTCACAATCCAAAGCAGTGTACTTAAACCGCTACGTGTACTTAGGCCGCTACGTGTACTTAGGCCGCTACGTGTCTTAGGCCGCCACGTGTACATAGGCCGCTACGTGTACTTAGGCCGCTATGTGTACTTGGCCGCTACGTGTACTTAGGCCGCTACGTGTACTTAGGCCGCCACGTGTACTTAGGCCGCTACGGCCTACGTGTACTTAGGCCGTTTCGTGAAATAACCATAATGAAATAGTTATTCCTCTCAACCGCGTTTTCTAATCTCATTCTCACATGCCTCACAGAAAATTATTAATGCATAAAATATAATCTAATAATAATAGCGGTTTCAGAGTTTATTAGGCCGCATGCCTGTCGCCGATTCTTAACATCTCAGAACATTCACCTGCAGCTTGTTGCGGTCTCGAACACGCAACTCACTGCTACAATTCTGCTGTGCTTAACCGCCCGGCCTCCTTGCCGATTCTGACCAGAAACTGGCGCACAGAGCTGGGATCGAACCCGCGCCTCACTGCTCCACTCCTGGTACTCTGAACTGTAACCACTGGGCAACCCTGAGTCAAGATCACGTGCGAAATTCAAATCAAGTTATCTTTGCTTCCTTGAAATTTGAATAGGGAACGTAAACAGTAAAATGGATATTTACTTGAAATTAAACATTCACATAAACTAATTACTGACATATAAAATAATATATCGTAAGCTAAGCTATAAATGTTTATTGAACTGAATATTGCTTGCGTATGAACTTATTCGTGCCCATTTTATAGGCTGTGATAGAAATTATACTGTTTTTTATAAGAGAGATATAGCACAGTATAGTATATAGGCTATTAGGTATTGTTATAGTATAGGTATTATCGTACGTATAGGTTGGTCGAGCTTGTATTTCTCAGGAATGAACATTTTTTCAAGTAATTCTGTTTATTTTATCTGATCAACAACAACTCGTCTTGCCAAATGACAAATATCTATATCGAGTTCTATAAACGTGGATTATTTTCTGATATACAGAAAGTTTTAGTCCATCCTATTTAATAGTTTTCTGCAGATAATTCCGATAGAATAGAAAACGGTACGAGCCTAAACTTAACAAGATCGCTCATACGAAATTATAAACGAAGCAATCCCTTCGTCATGAATTAAAATATTCATAATTCTTCGCCTAATTTTGCCTCGCTGGCAGTGACAGATATGACTTTGATATAGATATCAATTTTTATTATAAAATTATCATCTATATATAATTTATCTCCACTTATAGTTCCTTTCTTCCTCCATCTCACACCGAACATTTTTTATTTGCTCTTCGCAAGCAAGAAAATCGCGCACAAAATTCATTATATCCTGACGAGCTCTGGAGGCCAGCAGCTCACATCGGACTTGCGTCTGGTGTAAGTTAATTAAAAAATAAAGTCAATAATAAACTGCTTGCAAGAAATGTTTGTTCCCAGCAGAAAACCCTCATAGGCTCATAGTTGGAACTAATTGACTCATTCATATCGAGAACTATAGTTATGTTATAGTTATCTTATAGTTATAATAAAAAATACAAGTTTATTATTTCGAATGTTATTAGATCCCTAATATTTATCTCGTCTCTCATTTAGCGGATGATGGATGGGTCAATCTCCTAAAAGTACTTTAGTTAGCCATCAAATATTTATTCCAATAATGAGTCATCTATTCCTATGCAATTACATTTTGTCTTTTTTATTTCACTATTTTGAGGTTTAAATTGTAACATTCGAAACTTATAGAGAACTAAATCACTCAATTGAGAGTCGATAGTCAGCTTTGTGAAATTATTGTAAGCATTTGTCCCAATGAAGCTCGTAATTTGATCTGTACTGATTTTAATCTACCCACTGCTTCTGCCCAATTTTCCAGTTAATTTTACAGCCTGACCGGCACAATATACTACACGATGGACCCGCAACTTGAAGCTCGTTGCTGCCGCAGGTTCAGGAAGTCTTCGCTTTAATTACCAGCTCGTAATAATACAAAGATTGGCCTCACAGCAAGGACGGTGTGGGCCTCACAGCAAGGACGGTGTGGGCCTCACAAAATACATTATATTAAATATATATTTTCAAAATACAATTCATTGAATGTATGTATGGAATAAATACATTTGATTACATTGAATTAAGAGGAGCGTCTGGGTCCAAAATCGAAATTTTGGCTTTTCCGGTTTTTAGTCTCATCTTAAATCTTACATTCTAAGCTATCCAACGGTACCAAAACCATCTCTGTACGTTGATTTATGCGTTCAGGGCAGATCATGAAAGGGAGGGAGGTGGGGGAGTTCTTTAACAACTTAGATAGGGGAAATTAGCCGCCGAGCACTATAAATAGACTGACTGCTAGAGCCGAGCTTCAGTAGCCCGACTGGTATCCTACGGGGTGGTGTGTGCTAGCAGTCGCTCCCACCATCCTTGACTGGAATCAAGCTCCAGTAACGCTTAGTTTCGTAGCCTTGCTGCATTGAGTGGCTATTCCTATGCGCGCGGGACTTTGTCGCGCTGTCCTGAAAAGGTAACTTTTTGTCACAGCAAACCTATCTCCTCCTAG